CATTATTTCCGGTGACATTTACATTTGAATGCAATAAACAAATTCCCTTCATCAAATTCACGAGAACCCAAAGTTATTGAACCTCTTGATTCACTTTTCCATCTCCCTGTGGATACGACACCCCAAAGCTATACTACAACACCGCGTAACACTTTGGGCGTAATCATTGCCAGTGAGTCGATGTTGGAGAATGCTGAAACTGGCCCAGTTTATTGACAGCAAATGTAATGTTAGGCTTGGTGTGAGAGAGGTATTGTTGTCCTCCTACAGCACATCTGTAGACTGAGGGATTCTCCAGCTTTTCTCCATCAGTTTTTGACATAGTCTTACCTACAAGAATGTGCGTTGGACAAGGTTTCAGATTTTGCAATTTAAATTTTCTGAGTAACTCAGTAATATATCTTGTTTGAGTGAGATGAAGGCCTAAATCATGCCACTGTACTTCAATTCCTAGAAAATGATGGAGTTGCCCCGTACTCTTAAGTGCAAATTTCTTATTTTACGTATTTATGAATCCTTGCAACAATTATATGTCATTCTCAATCACCACGATATCATCCACATAGATGAGTGCAAAAATTATTTGTCTTTCATTTTTTAAGTAGAACAATGACGTGTCTGCTGCTGATTATTTGAACTTCAAGCTTAACAGAGTGAACTTTTACTTGTCATACCAGGCTCTAGGTGCCTGCTTTAGTCTGTAAAGTGCATTTTCTAGTTTGCAAACATGATCAGGTTTTGATTGATCCACAAAGCCCTTTGGTTGATTCATGAATACAGCTTTCTCAAGTTCACCATTTAGGAAGGCGTTGTTGATGTCTACTTGCTTGATTGACCAACCTTTTGATACTGCCACAGAGAGTATAACTCTTAAGGTTGAAGCTTTAATTACAGGACTGAAGGTTTCATAAAAGTCCATTCCATTGAATCATATTGCCACCAACCTTGCTTTAAATCTATGAATAGAGCCATTAGTATTTCGTTTTATTCTAAAAACCCACTTATTTCCCACTATGTTATAGTCTGGTGAAAGGGGAATAAGTTTCCAAGTTTTGGTTTTCATTAAGTTGTTGAACTCTTCCTCCATGGCTCTCTTCCACTCTTTTCTTGCCATGGCTTTATTAGCAGTTATTGGCTCTGATGTTTCAAAGATATTGTCGACTGATTTTCATAAAAATGCCTTAGGTTTGAAGACTCCTGCTTTTCCTCTTGTGATCATAGGATGTTCAGTTAAGTTACTTACTCTTTGTTGAGATCTGACTTGTTGCTGGTTGGTTGTGGAATCTAATTCAACCCTTCCATTGTCTTGTTGCAGCTCAATTTCTCCCTCCAAACTCTGATTTATTTAGTTGTTCATATTTCTGATTTGTTTAGTACTTCCATCATCATTTATGTCTCCAAACTGACTGTTACTTGAGATAGGAGGTGTGTGATGTACTGCATTGGTTTCTTCAGGAAGAGTTGCATCAATAGGATTTGAGGCTGGTTCAAGATTGTGTGATTGAAGTGGAAATTGAAAATAGGATATTGCAGGTTCAGCTACCACAGTGTCATGGTGAACTTGGTTAGAAAGTAATGACTCAAAAGGGAATTATAATTCATTGAATATAACATGCCTATAAATATAAACTCTTCCTATTGAGTTCATTTATTTGTATCCTTTGTGGGATTCACTATAGCCAATAAAGACACACTTAGTT